GGTCATAACACTTGAATTCTAATCCTTTTAGGGCGTGTAACGTGTGCTCTGTTTTGGATGTGTATTTTTTTATATTTGTCTGTGATAATTATTGGAAACATAAAAGGATTATTACAAGGATATTTAACTTTTACAATATGAGTACGGTAATTGGTAATTACTTCATGTGTATTGTGCTTATACTCAACTGCCAATTTCTCCGTTATTAGAATGTTTTAACTAGGGTCTATAAAAATCAGCCAAAAATGTAACTGATAAATGTAAATGATAGTTGGAGTTGTTTAGTTTCATCTCTCTCTCTCCCTCTCGCTCTCATGTTCAAAAACTAAGGACTGCACATGCGTACAAGCGTTAAATTCAATCGTTACTTGAATATATGTTAAAAACCGAAGAATTCCGAATTAAATATTCGTTTCAGAGCAAAGTTTCAAACTTTTATGTAACCAAGAACCATAACTTGTTTTGTCACTAAGAGTTAACTCCCTTGAGAATGGGAGCCGATCACTTTTTTTCAGCAAAAGTCCAGATGGTAATATCTTCAAAAGTCAAACATGGCTAGACTTTCAATGTTGATGAATGAGGTTTTTATGGTAAGCCTCATCATATAATGTTAAGATAAACCCCAAATATTGTCTGTAGAATGAAATTTCTTCTGACCCTGAACCATTCTACCTCTGGTTTCATTTACCAAATAATTCCCTGTAGTAGAAAAGAGTTAACTGCCTAGAGTTTAACATTTTCTCGTGTACCCTCACCCCCGCCCTTTTTTCTACTTTTACGATCGTTTTCAGTCCATTACAAAATCATGATGACGATGTTAATGATGATGCTGATGATGAATTATGTTGCTGCTGCAACATGTTGATAGGATCGCTTGTTGGAGATCTGAATTTCCAGAAATAATTTTTCCCCTTTACTCGATTGTTTGCGAGTCATCGATTGTTCATATACAGACTGTAAAACCTCACTTAGATTGGTTTTGAAAATTAGAAGTTTAAGTGGCTTAATCAATAAAAAAAAAGAAAATTCTTTCAACAGGCTACTCTTGTGGTCAAAGGGGGTCTGCAGTCGGATATAGAATGTTGAAGAACCCACCCAATTTATATTATTGATATACACTTATATAACGTCATCGGATGTGAGTGCGTGTGTACCTGGTTGTTGGTGTTCACCATATACAACACAAAGTCCCCATTTGTCGGTATTAAAACATAATGTGCGTCCTCGGTTGGTCACATTAACAAATAACTGTTCTATGGCGATATTGCACCGCACATCGATTATAAATGGTTATATTGTCTTTTTTCCCCTGTGTTGTCAAAGAGGGTACAAAAACGTTGTTATTAAGAGGTTAAAGACCACAGTGAGTGTCAAGTCCACAAGTCCGCGATTGTTAACATACAATTTGTAAGACCTCACTCAGATTGGTTTAGAAAATTAAAAGTTTTAAGTGGCTGAATCAATATAAAGATGTTCTGTCAGTGGCCTGCTCCTGTGATCAAAGGTGGCCTGTTCTTGGATATAGAGTGTTGAACTCACTCAATTTATATTATTGATATACACTTTGAACGTCCTCGGATGTAAGTGTGTGTGTACTCGGTTGTTGGTGTTCACCATACACAAAGTCTCCATTTGTCGGTATTAAAACAAAATATGTGTCATACATCAATTTTAAAACAGTTATGTTGTATTTTCCCATGTGTGGTCAAAAGGGGGACAAAAATGTGGTAATTTACAGGTTAAAGACCACAATAAATATTGAGTCCACAGTATGGTAGTATAGTTTGGCGGCGTTCGCAACTTACACCATGGGTGTCCTCATATGGGCATAACTAGCATAGGTTTCCCCAATTATTTGCAAACTCCTGTGTGTCTGCATTTCCTCCGTAAAAAGTCAAATGCATAAAATATATAAATTGAGGTATAATTTATATCTTTTCATAATCGTTTGATGTAATAGAGTTCAAATATAACGTGATTTTCAGTTACATGCAATATTTATCAAGACCTAGATTAGGAGGATCCAGTACATAAGTCTGTGTGTCGCCTACAGGCCATAATTCTTAAGTGATCATCTTGAAACTTTACATACTTATTCCTTATACCCTAAGGATGGTCCCTATTGTTTTTGGTGCATGCCCGACCCCCAGGGGCAGAGCCACGTCCATTTCTTGCATTTGTTTGTCGTCTATATGCCGCATTTCTTAATTGTCACCTCCATAGTGTCCACAAGCTAAAAAACACGATTTTTCGTACAATTAGGGGTGACGACAATATACGTCCACATAGAGGTCACAATTATAATCAAATTTGAAAAACCGTGTGAATATATCACCGTTACACCGTAATGATGGTTGAGTTCGAATTTCGTAAAAATTGGACCAAAACTGATGGACAAAATGGCTGCCCCTCGTATAACGCAAATGGTGTAAATATGTGGTATATCAAGGTTGTAGACCCTCTAGAGGCCACAAATTTTGTCCGATTTTGATGCAACCTTAAATTTATGCTTATATCACAAAGATCTTGATTCCTTTCGATATAAATATACATTTCAAGTTTAAACCAAATCCGATAAAAATCAGGGGCCATAATCTTTGAAGTTACAGTCCGATACATGCCAATATCGAAAGGAACCAAGATCTTAGGGTGATAAACCTATATTTCAAGTTTCATTGAAATCGGATAAAAATTGTGACCTGTAGAGTGTGCACAAACAATTGTGGACGGACGGACAGGGGCGACGACAATATACGTCCACATCAAAATTTGGGCTTATAAAAACCATTTGAATATATCACCGTTACACCCTAAGGATGGTTAAATTCGAATTTCGTAAAAATCGGACCGAAACCAACCGACAAAATGGCCATCACTCGTTCGCAAATACAAATAGTGTCAAAATATTGTGTATCAGGGTTGGGGACCCTCTGGAGGTCACAATTTTCTTCTGATTTTGATGGAACTTGAAATGCATGTTTATAACCCAAATATCTTGGTTCCTTTCGATTTTTGTACATATCAAATCGTAACTTCCTGAATTATGGCCCCTGATTGTATGAAAAATCACATTTTTAGCTTGTGGTCCCTCTAGAGATCACAATTATTATCGGATTTAAAAAACCATTTGAATATATCACCGTTACGCCGTAATGTTAGTTCGAATTTTGTGAAAATCGGGCCAAAACTGCCGGACAAAATGACCACCCCCTTGTACGCAAATAGTGTAAACATCTGCTAAATCAAGGTTGTGGAACATCTAGAGGTCACAATTTTGATCCGATTTCGATGAAACTTGAAATGCATGTTTATAACCCAAAGATATTGGTTCCTTTCGATATTCGCACATATCGGATCGTAACTTCCTGAATTAAGGCCCTTGATTGAACAAAAAATCACGTTTTTAGCTTGTGGCCCCTGTAGAGGTCACAATTGTTATCCGATTTAAAAAAAAAATGTTTGAATATATCACCATTACACACTAAGATCATGGTTCCTTTTGATAATCACGGATACATGAACTTAACTTCCTGGATTATGGCCCCCGATTATTCGAAAAATCACATTTTTAGCTTGCGGATTCTCTAGAGGTCATAATTTTTGTCCGATTTTAAAAAAACGTCTGTCTGTGTGTCGCGTACAGGCCACAAATTTTAATCGATCGTCTTGAAAAAATTTCATATGAATTTCTTTATACCCTAAGGATGATCCCTATTGTTTTTGGTGCATGCCCGACTCCTTTTGGCCCAGCCACGGCCATTTCTTGTATTTATTTGTTTGTCATCTACAGACCACCACGTACCACCTTGAAACTTTGCATACTTATACCTTCTATCCTAAGGAACATCCCTATTGTTTGTGGTGAATGCCCAACCCCCAGGGGCAGAGCCACGCCCATTTTCTTTTTGTATCTCTGTGTGTCACTTACAGCCTGCAGTTCTTAATTGATTGTCTTGAAATACTTATTCCTTATACCCTAAGGCTGACCTCTATTATTTTTGGTGGATGTCCGACCCCCTGGGACAGAGCCACGCCTAATGTTTGTATGTCTTGTGTTTCGCCTACAGGCCGCAATTCTTAACTGATTTTTATGAAACTTTGCATGCCTATTCCTTATACCCTAAGGATGACCCCTATTGTTTTTTGGTGATTGCCCAACCCCCAGGGGCAGAGCCACATACATTTTTTCTTTGTGTCTCTGTGTGTTACCTACAGGCCGTGATTCTTAATGGATCGTCTTTGAACATGTGATATGTATTCCTTATAGCATAAGGACGACAACTGCATGTCCCAACCACCAGGGGCAAAGCCACGCCCAATTTTTGTGTTTATCGTTTACAGGCCACAATTCTGAATGGGTTATCTTAGAACTTGGTATACTTATTCCTTATACCCTAAGGACAGCAACTATTGATATTGGTGCACGACCCCCTCCTCCACCCCACGTATATTTGAGCGTTAGCAATGCTCTTGTTAAGTGATGCAGGATTATCTGAGATCCAAAATAATTTTTTATATGGCCTAATTCATTTAGAGTATATCAATCAGTTTAGGAAGTTTGTCACCTTGTGATAGCATCAAATGGGTGTATTTATTTTATATTTTAAAGTTCTAACACTTAACAGTCTAGGGGAGTGAAAAGAATGATCAAGAATAGTAGTTTAGTGAGAGTATGACTATGAGTAGAACTGGTGTTAAGTTTATCTGTAATGCAAATGATAAAAAAATATATCCTGATCACCATTAACAAAAACATTCAAATGTTATTGACCAATTACTGGAGGTTCCAAATTATTGACCAGTCAACAGTATTGTTATTAAATTTCAGCACATAGAGTAGCCAGTCTTGTGTTAGACCATGTTTGAGTGTAACAAATCCCAATCTTCTGTTTATTGTCTTTCTGGTAAAGTCCAGACCCAGATGCGGCACCATATCAAAATAAAATGTTTGAAATACAACTCCTTTAATTTCAAAGTTTGTATTAATTCTTTTATTGTAGAGATTTATCAGAATTTGATCAACTTGGAATATCTAGTGATCTAGTTAGTGATTATACAAATGCTTTATTGGCACCAAGTTTTGGTCAACATGGTGAGTATTTAAAAAAATAACATAATGTCATACAGTTCCACAAATTTTAAGTTTTTAGTTTAAAACTTTAATTTTTAACAAGCACAATTCTTTTTATATGCCCACATGGAAATGTGGTCGTATATTGCCGTCGCCCTCAATTTCTTGTGAACACTCTACAAACTACACTTATCATCCGATCTGTATTAAATTTATATGTATTATTTAGATTGGTAAAATAAAGAAGCCTATTGAATTTCATCAATTTATGTTAATTACTTCTAGAGTTATGGTCCGTATTTCACTTTGTTGCACCTTTTGAATGTTACCATCCTATCTGTATAAAATTTTTATGCATCATTTAAATTAGTGCAACGAAGATGCCTATTGAATTTCAGCAATTTCCGTTAATTGCACTGTGAGTTATGGCCCTTCTTTCACTTTGTTGTACCTTGTGAATGCTTTAACGACAAAAGTTATTATCCAATCTGTATGAAATTTATAGGTATCGTTTAAATTAGTAAAACGAACAAGCCTATTGAGTTACAGCAAATTTCCGTTAATTACATCTAGAGTTATGGCCCTTGTTTCACATTGTTAAATCTTGTGAATGCTTGAACGACAAAAGTTATCACCCAATCTGTATGAAATTCATATGCATCATTTAAATTAGTGAAATGAAGAAGCCTATTAAATGTCAGCAATTTCCGTTAATTACACCGTGAGTTAAGGCCCTTGTTTCACTTTGTTGTACCTTATGAATGCTTTAACGACAAAAGTTATTATCCGATCTGTATGAAATTTATAGATATCGTTTAAATTAGTAAAACGAACAAGCCTATTAAGTTTCAGCAAATTTCCGTAAATTACATCTAGAGTTATCCCCCTTGTTTCACATTGTTGAATCTTGTGAACACTTGAACGACAAAAATTATCACCCAATCTGTATGAAATTCATATGCATCATTTAAATTAGTGAAATGAAGAAGCCTATTGAATGTCAGCAATTTCTGTCAATTACTTCTAGAGTTATGGCCCTTGTTTTACATTTTGAACCTTTTGAACGTTCGAACGACAAAAGTTATCATCTGTTCTGTAATGAAATTGATATGCATTATTTGAATTAGTAAAAACGAAAAAGCCTGTCGAATTTCAACAATTTCTGTAGATTACTTCCAGAGTTACAGCCCTTGTTTTAGTTTTTAGAACCTTGTGAACCCTCAAACGACGAAAATTATAATTTGATCTGTATGAAATTGTCTTGTAAATGCCCCCAATTACCTATAAAAGAATAAATATGCGACAACCCTTGTCAATGGCTCAAACAATTTAGCTGCTGTGGGTGTATGTTTCGTTGCCCGGCAACCTATCTTTTAATTCATTTATTGATTTCTTAGGGGTTTTTTACATTTCATTTTACTTATCTTATCTTTCTTCATGATGGTTTGTAGAAACATTAAAAAAAAATACTTGTATACATATTGGATAAAACATACTTTTATTGGGTATTTTTTCTTGGACAGATAATGCTTCTTGAAGTCTTACACTAACATGTCCTGACTTTGCTAAACATTCTAATCTGAGCCACTTTACTACAAATACTTAAACTAAAATGTTGATCTACAAAATCATAGTGAACTTACAGATTAGGGCTTCAAAATTCAATCAAACATTCTATCTAAGATCCATATTATAGAAAAAACATAATCCTTAGACTTTTTCTCAAATTAGCAGTATTATTTTCTTTTGTTTGGAACTATGCTCTATTTCTTTTTCTTTTATTACTATTATGATTCTTCTTTTTTTACATGACTTTAGGTCAGACACATGAAACTGATCAGGTAACTTTGAGTTATTATTAGCCTGCTTGTTACTAATCATTGTTACAAACTAAAAATAAAGATCACATCTTCCATTGCTAAAATAATTATTGACATGATTTGACTGTACAGTTGCATTGGGCATATTCAAATTCAAATTTATCAAAATTTGAAAAAAATATTCAAAGCCATGGCCAAAATATATTTTAGTGGTCTTCAAGGAGCTGAACGAACAATATGATTCAATTTTCTTGCGGAGAGTGATAATTCCTGTTTAACATGGTTAAACTTTTGTTCTCTACGCCTTTCATTTTTGAGGATTAATTATATGGATGTGTTGGGTATGGATACTTGATGGTTTAAGACTTAAATGCAGGCCCTTACAATTTTACAATAAGGAACATTCACCCTTTTGTGATAATGTGAGTTATCTTCAGTAAATCTTTTGAAATTATTGTTTGCTTAGTGGCACCTTAGGTTACAGGTACTCCATTTTAATTCCAGTGAATGAGATGAAAACTTTACCGCACCTAAAATAACACTTAAATCAAGAGCAAAAAATGTTGGTGAGATTGATTTTATTTTATTAATATTTTTTTTTTCATTTCAGGTAGAAGATGATAATGGCCACTCTGTTAAGGTTATTCATTTTGGAATTGTATAAACATCATTTTAATTGAAACTACTAAAATAATTTATATTTATATCATTATCCATATACAGAGTAGAAAATATATTTAATATAATTGATGTTTTGTTATTAAAGTGATGGGATATTTCTGTCAAAAATATTCCTTGAGCCACAGTAACTTGTTGAGTAAGAGAAGGTTGCTCTGGATTTTGTTGCCGTTGGGATAGGCCAAAAAACCCAGGTCCCATATACACTTTCCCTCATAGCACAGATGGAGCCAGAACTGCTTGTGGATGCTCAAGTAGACTATTATACAAGTTGAGATAGAGATTGTCTTTTATTAACACAAACACTGCTTTTACTACAAATGGATTATAATTTCTATCTCAACTTTTCATTTCCTCCTAATAATTTACAAAAAAATATGATTGTGTAAATTTATTTGCGTCTGTCTGCTCTAGCTTGTTCTATAGCTTCTATTTGTGACTTTAATTCTTTCTTTTCTAATTCTGGTATGTAGCGAAATTCTTCATCCTCCTCATCAGGCTGTAATAGATAAAAGTTACAGATACATTAAACATACATTATGCAAGAGCTAAATCTGCCTATTGTAGGTCTTTCTTTAGGCCTGAAATGTTATATAAACTATTAATTAGACATTAATTAACGTATCCAGACCAAAATCAACTTTCAATGTCAAAGCTAGCCTGTGATAATTTTTGGATTATGATCGGATTTGCTGCATAACTTTCCTTCTCGATTTAACGATTAAATGGATAATCCAGACTATGATTTTTGTCCTACCGACTTTAATAATGATGACCGAGGCTATGCAGAACTTTCGATCGCTTATTTCTCGGTTCATAGTGGATCAATTTGACTGAAATTTTCAGCAAATTGCTGTTACATTATATAGTTTTTAACTATTATAGTGAGAACTGCCAACTCGTTATCTAATCTCCCATAATGTATCTTTAATAAACTAGTATCAGACAATATACGACCACATTGTTGAAAATTAATAGGCATCTTTGTTTCTAGACCTTAAAACACTGTGTATAAATTTAGAGACAACCGACAGGGGTGACATTAATATATGACCCCAGTTCAATTTGGGCATATAAAAATGGCTATATTTTTCCAGCCACACAGTTTCAATGTGAGTTTATTTCACATGTATACTCAAGTACAGAAATAGATTTACCTTTTTAACAACAATATTTGCCCCCTCTGGTGCATGTGTAGATATCAATTCAACTAAGATTGGAAGAGTTGGAGAAGGGACATCATCTAACTAAATAAAAAATAATAAATTTAGCATGATTGCATAAGCATTAAAGTGATAGTCAAAACATAATTACCAGTATTTCTATATGCATTGCTTAATAGGCTGTCAAATCACTATCATACAATCATAGTAATCATTCTAGCACTTAAATATAATAAGATCAAAAATAATACCAAAATTGTCTCGCTTGTTTTCTATATGCTTTACAGGATTAATCGGATTATTGTTTCATAATGTAAGACTGTGTATAGATTCCATGTGTTTTAAGGCTTCATTTAACACACATGTATACTCTTCCAAAAAAGAAACGCCATAAATCTTACTTGTTTTTAATGTCATTATGTAAGGATAAAAGAAATTCATTATTGGTTTTAAATGTAGGGTCACTAATTGAGACTGGTCATGCTTTTTGCTAAAATTTGTTTCCGCTTGCTTGCACCAAGACACATGAGTTTAACAACTTCAAAAGCTTTTCGCATGAAACCCAAATGATGCCACATCTGAACGAAGACCAAAGCTATCGGTCTGTTACAAGCAGGTGAATCCCAGACAGATGTAGCCAGGCTTCTAAATGTTAACCAGGGTACCATTTCTCGCCTTTGGGATAGGTACTGACAGTGAAGTTCAACACGTGACCGCTCAGGCCAAACAAGAGTGACCCAACCTGCCCTGGATCGTCACACCCGGTTACGTCATTTGCGGAAACGGTTCACAACAGCGACCTTTATTGCAGCAGAAATTCCTGGAAGGCACAGGATCTCAGACCAGACAGTCCAAAAACACCTATGTGAAACTGGATTACGAGTCAGAGCTCTCCAGTTAGAGCTGTTGTTTTGAAATACGCTGACACCGTCAAATCCAACTGGGTTCAGACACACACACTGTAACCCAGGTATCATTTAATCTTGTGTATCTAGCACTAATTTTTTTCACATTCGTTTAATATCAAATCTTTGTTTAACCAGCGGCTGCCAGGCAGGATACGCCCACATTTTCGAGAGATGGATAGAAAACAAGCTAAAACAAAAGTGATTTTTCCTACAATCAAGGGCCATAATTCAGGAAATTACAATTCGATATGCGCAAATATCGAAAGGAACCAAGATCTTTGAGTTATAAACTTACATTTCAAGTTTCAACAAAATCGGATAAAAATTGTGACCTCTATAGGGTCCACAACCTTGATATACCATATTTTTACACAATTTGAGAACGAGGGGCGACCATTTTGTCTGTCAGTTTTGGGCCGATTTTCACGAAATTCGAACTCAGTCGTCCTTAGGGTGTAATGGTAATATAATAATACGTTTTTTTAAATCGGATAAAAATTATGACCTCTATAGGGTCCACAAGCTAAAAATGCGTATTTTCATACAATCAGGGGCCATAATTCAGGATGTTACGGTCCGACATGCGCAAATATAAAGATAGGTTGCCAGGCAACGAAACATACGCCCACAGCAGCTATATCGTCTGGGCAGTCAACAAGAGTTGTCGCATTTTTTTACTTTTTTTCGGTAATGAAACATTTATAATACATTAAAATCTGATTAAGAGCAACAACTCATTAAGTAATTATCAGAAAACCATTAGAATTTGTTTGGTTTTTATAAAGTTCTGCCCCATGCTAACGTTTGGTATACAAAACTTTTAACATCATGCATTTAGCTGTTCAAGTCATAAAGATTCATTGAAAATCAATATACGTGTTTGTCTCAAGACCTTAAACTCTGTGTATCAATCTGAAGTCAATCAGATGATAACTTTAGTCTCTAAAGCGTCACAAGATTTTTCAAAGTGATCAAGGGCCATAACTTTGGCAAAAATTATCGGAAATCGCTGAAAATTAATAGGATTCTTTGTCTCATGACCTTAAACACTGTGTATAAATTTAAAGTCAATCGGATATTAACTTTGGCCTCTAGAGCGTCCACAAGATTTTCCAAAGTGATCAAGGGCCATAACTATGGCAAAAATGATCGGAAATCGCTGAAAATCAATAGGATTTTTCGTCTCATGACCTTTAACACTGTGTATAAATTTAAAGTCAATCGGATATTAACTTTGGCCTATAGAGCATCCACAAGATTTTTTGAAGTGATCAAGGGCCATAACTTTGGCAGTAATTATCGGAAATCGCTGAAAATTAATAGGATTCTTCGTCTTATGGCCTTAAACACTGTGTATAAATTTAAAGTCAATCGGATATTAACTGTGGCCTCTAGAGCGTCCACAAGATTTTTTGAAGTGATCAAGGGCCATAACTCTGGCAGTAATTATCGGAAATCGCTGAAAATCAATAGGCTTCTTCGTCTCATGGCCTTAAACACTGTACATAAATTTAAAGTCAATCGGATATTAACTTTAGCCTCTAGAGCGTCCACAAGCAATTGTGGACGCCGGACCGACGGACGGACGGGGGCGACAACAATATACGACCACATTTCAATGTGGGCGTATAAAAAGGAACCAAGATCTTTAGGTTATAAACTTACATTTCAAGTTTCAACAAAATCGGATAAAAATTGTGACCTCTATAGGGTCCACAACCTTGATATACCATATACCATATTTTTACGCTATTTGAGAACGAACGGCGGCCATTTTGTCTGTCAATTTTGTGCTGATTTGCACGAAATTTGAACTCAGCCGTCCTTAAGGTGTAACGGTGATATAATAATACGTTTTTTTAAATCGGATAAAAATTATGACCTCTATAGGGTCCACAAGCTGAAAATGCGATTTTTCGTACAATCAAGGGCCATAATTCAGGAAGTTACAGTCTGATATGCACGAATATCGAAAGGAACCGAGATCTTTGGGTTATAAACTTACATTTCAATTTTCAACAAAATCGGATAAAAATTGTGACCTCTATAGGGTCCACAACCTTAATATACCATATTTTTACGCTATTTGAGAACGAACGGCGGCCATTTTGTCTGTCAATTTTGGGCCGATTTTCACGAAATTCAAAATCAGCCATCCTTCGGGTGTAATGGTGATATAATAATACGGTTTTTTAAGTCGGATAAAAATTATGACCTCTATAGGGTCCACAAGCTAAAAACGCGATTTTTCGTACAATCAGGGGCCATAATTCAGGACGTTACGGTACGATATGCGCGAATATCGAAAGGAACCAAGATCTTCGGATTATAAACATGTATTTCAAGTTTCATCAAAATTGGATCAAAATTGTGACCTTTTTCCTACAATCAAGGGTCATAATCCATGAAGTTATGGTCCGATACATGCCAATATCGAAAGGAACCAAGATCTTTGGCAGATAGACCTATATTTCAAGTTTCGTCAAAATCGGATAAAAATTGTGACCTGTAGAGTGTCCACAAACAAATTGTGGACGGACGGACAAGGGCAACGACAATATACGTGCACATGAAAATGTGAGCATATAAAAATAGTTCCTTCTATCTGGGTTGATTGCTATGTGTATGTATGCATAAACAAAAGAGCATCTTTAATAAAACATGCAGTTGCCATGCAAGATATGCCCACCTTTTGCAATAGATCAACAGAGAACAAACTAAAAATGGCAGTTTTTGACCAATAAGGGGCCATAATCCAGGATGTTATGGTCCGACATGCGTCAATATCAAAAGGAACTATAAACAAGATGTGAACAGACGGACAAAAACTGTGACCTGTAGAGTTTCGACAAACAAAATGTGAGCAGACAGACGGACGGACAAGGGCGACGACAATACACTTCCACATGAAAATGTGAGCGTATAAAAATGTCTGGTATTTGAAAATAACTATATAAAAACTTACCTGAACAGTTCTGCTGTATTCTTTTAAATCAAAAGCATTCTCAACAACAGTTGAATTTGGTTTAAAGGTCTTTATTGTAAAAACTTGAGGTGGTGATGCCCAACTATAAAATACGAAGAAAGACAGGTTACAGCAAAACAAAACTTAAACATACATTATGCAAGAACTAAATCTGCCTATTGCAGGTCTTTCTTTAGGCCTGAAATGTTATCTAAATTATTAATTAACTTATCCAGACCATAATCATCTCTCAATGGCATCGCTAGCCTGTGATGTTTATTGGATTAGGTTCCGATTTGCTGTTCGGCTTCCATTCATAATTTAAGCAGTGGGAGGAAATCGGAGGACCCGGAGAAAACACATGAGGTTGGACAGGCAACCCTACTCCTTGTCACATACAACCGGGGAATCAAAACCACGCCAGTTGGCTCAATGAGAAACCTTCTGATACAACGCACACGCGCGACTCATTTGGCCATCCAAGAAAGAATGGGAATTTTAACTCTTTCGTATTCTAACAAGATCAATTTTTTTAGTGTGCTTGAATAAGTTGTTTTTATAACCATTGTACACCAAAATGGCCTCCAGCTTGTTTTCTGTGAAGTAATCTGAAAACAATCTATTATACTATTAATAAACTTACGTGTCCGATTCTAATTGCATTTCTCTAGCTATAGAATGCACATATTTAGAAAATGATTCTAATACAACAAAATCATATCCTTTCAACTGGATCTGAACTTCTTCATATTCTGGGATATCAGGGGGTAAATTCTGTAGAAAATTGTAAAAGTAAAAGGATAACAAAAAGTAAATACCAGCGGCTGCCAGGCAGGATACACCCACATTTTGCAAGAGATGGATAGAAAACAAGCTAAACAAAAAGCGACGAAACATACGCCCACAGCAGCTATATCGTCCGGGCAGTCAACAAGAGTTGTCGCATATTTTTACTTTTTTCGGTAATGAAACATTTATAATACATTAAAATCTGATTAAGAGTAACAACTCATTAAGTAATTATCAGAAAACCATTAGAATTTGTTTGGTTTTTATAAAGTTCTGCCCCATGCTAACGCTTAGTATACAAAACTTTTAATATCATGGATTTAGCTGTTCAAGTCATAAAGATTCATTGATAATCAATATACTTGTTCGTCTCAAGACCTTAAACTCTGTGTATCAATCTGAAGTCAATCGGATGATAACTTTGGCTTCTAGAGCGTCCACAAGATTTTTAAAAGTGATCAAGGGCCATAACTCTGGAAGTAATTATCGGAAATCGCTGAAAATCAAAAGGCTTCTTCGTCTCATGACCTTAAACACTGTGTATAATTTTAAAGTCAATCGGATATTAACTTTAGCCTCTTGAGCGTCCACAAGATTTTTTTGAAGTGATCAAGGGCCATAACTCTGGCAGTAATTATCGGAAATCGCTGAAAATCAATAGGCGTCTTCGTCTCATGATCTTAAACACTGTGTATAAATTTAAAGTCAATCGGATATTAACCTTGACCTCTAGAGCGTCCACAAGATTTTTCAAAGTGATCAAGGCATTCAAGGGCCATAACTCTTGACAGTAATTATCGGAAATCGCTGAAAATCAAAAGGCTTCTTCGTCTCATGAGCTTAAACACTGTGTATAAATTTAAAGTCAATCGGATATTAACTTTAGCCTATGGAGCTTGTGGACGCCAGACTGACAAACCGACGGACTGACGGACGGGGGCGACAACAATATACGTCGACATTATAATGTGGGCATGTAAAAAGGCGATTTTTCGTATAATCTTGAGGCCATAAATCAGGAAGTTACGATCCGATATGAACAACTATCAAAAGGATTCAAGATCTTGGGGTTATAAACATGCATTACAAGTTTCATCAAAATCGGATTAAAATTGTGACCTCTACAGGGTCCACAACCTTGATATACCATATTATTACACAATTCGCAAACAAGTGGCGGCCATTTTGTCCAGCAGTTTTGGTCAGATTTTCACGAAATTCTAACTCAACCTTCATTACTGTGTAACGGTGATATACTAAAACGTTTTTTTTTTAAATCGGATAAAAAGTGTGACCTCTGGAGGGACCACAAGCCAAAAACGCCATTTTTCGTACAATCAGGGACCATAATTCAGGACGTTACGATCCGATATGTGCGGATATCGAAAGGAACCAAGATCTTTGGGTTATAAACATACATTTCACATTTCATCAAAATCGGATCAAAATTGTGACCTTTAGAGTGTCCACAAGTTAAAAACGTGATTTTCGCCATAATCCATGAAGTTACGGATGGTCCGATACATGCCAATATCGAAAGGAACCAAGATTTTAGGGAGATAAACCTATATTTGAAGTTTTGTTGAAATCCGATAAAAATTGTGACCTGTAGAGTGTCTACTAACAAGTTGTGGACGGACAGGGGCGACGGCATAATATGTCTACATGAAAATGTGGGCGTATAAAAATTGTGACCTGTAGAGTGTCCACAAACAACTGTGGACGACCTGACGGACAGGGGCGACGACAATATACGTCCATATGAAAATGTGGGCATATAAAATTGACTGAGATACGGGCATTTGAGTTTGAGATGCCGATAAGTTTTCGAAACAAAATATGTATCAATAATTTACTTGAGTTTCAGATATCTTGTTTTTACCTTTCTAGTAAAGATATACAGCCAAAATTTGGTAGCATTAGAGAACTTTGTGTGTAGATTGTGAATCTGCAAATTGCAGATGAGAGGTGAGTGGTAGGGTTCGCATGCTACTTAGCCATGAATACCGAAAACAATTTGGTGTAATTGTATATCTTTTTGCTTTTGTAGTGCTCCAGGAGCTACAAGGTAATAGATATAGACCCATATTTTGGCCTATATAGAGATTGCCGGTAGTACTACATAAGAAACTTATGAGAACGCATCAGTCTTCACTAGATTCTCAAAAAATTGGCCTTAAATATGGTTTACGACAAAAAAATTTGAAAATTGCCTTGTATTTTCAAGCGAAAAGAGCCTGGTAGATGAGCACCTACAATTCTGAAACTTGGTGTAATTATAGTTTGTACTAATGTCTCCAACATTATGATACAAAAATAAAAATGGTTGGAGTGCCCAAGTTTAGATTTGTCGTGGATTCCGTGAAGTAGTTAGGTTTTAGAACATGAAATACTGTGTGATTCAACATGGCGCCCGAGGGGTTTAATATGAAATAGGTACGAAATAGTACCAAATGGTTTATAGGTATGAGAGTCAAGGTTTAGACTATAATGCCTTGGAAAGCGGAAGTTGGAGGCGACTAATATGTGTCTCTCTTTTGTGGACCGATGTGAGATTGTCTGTTGTGTTAACTGGACGAGTAGGCCTATTTACCTTCGGTTATATGTCAATGTCAAATAAGAAGATTCTTATCAACACGATCGGCTGTGGACCGGTTTGATTCTACGTATCTCTCGTAGCTGAGAGAAAAAGAAGATTTTTTAGCCGAGAGAATATCTTCCGTCAAAATAGTGGTTGATTCCGAGGCAAGAGAAGGAATCGCGACCGACTGATTTGGTCAACATAATTTGCCATAACGAGATCGTAAGCAGAGAGTGAGATAATATAAGAGAGATAAGGTGGCTATGAAGACCTGGTTATCCCGAGTGTCAGTGACTAGTTTCGTTCGTATTAAACTCTTCAGACTGATTGGACTCACGTGTTGGGCGTTTTTATTTATACTATTCCGAAACCCCAGTGGGGTTTCTATGGTTACTAATTGGCGGGGTTACCGGGGTTGGCCCCTTGGCGGGGTTTGCGAATTTGTCACCGGGGTCGGTAGCTCGCTTACCGGGGTTGTACAGAGGTTTGACAAATTGGCGGGGTGCCGAATTTGTTACCGGGGTCGCTAGCTCGCTTACCGGGATTGTACTGATCGTTTAGTTTGAAGTTCTAGTTTCCATAATTTTGCTAACTAGGGTGCCTTTGGTTGGTGTGTAACATTGTTACTTGTCATAACAGTGAAGGGATAGTATACAGACAAGGGTGTTGATGTAACACCCGTGAGAGGGGTATAAGGCTAAATATAAATCCAAAGTTGGAACACTCAGGGGTAGAGCATTGTGATACAAAAATAAAAATGGTTGGAGTGCCCAAGTTTAGATTTGTCGTGGATTCCGTGAAGTAGTTGGGTTTTAGAACGTGAAATACTGTGTGATTCAACATGGCGCCCGAGGGGTTTAATATGAAATAGGTACGAAATAGTACCAAATGGTTTATAGGTATGAGAGTCAAGTTTTAGACTATAATGCCTTGGAAATCGGAAGTTGGAGGCGACTAATATGTGTCTCTCTTTTGTGGACCGATTTGAGATTGTCCGTTGTGTTAACTGGACGAGTAGGCCTATTCACCTTCGGTTATATGTCAATGTCAAATAAGAAGATTCTTATCCACACGATCGGCTGTGGACCGGTTTGATTCTACGTATCTCTCGTAGCTGAGAGAAAAAGAAGATTTTTTAGCCGAGAGAATATCTTCCGTCAAAATAGTGGTTGATTCTCTTCACTGTTATGACAAGTAACAATGTTACACACCAACCCAAGGCACCCTAGTTAGCAAAATTATGGACACTAGAACTTCAATCTAAACGATCAGTACAATCCCGGTAAGCGAGATAGTGACCCCGGTAACAAATTCGGCAACCCGCAAATTTGTCAAACCTCTGTACAACCCCGGTAAGCGTGCTACGCCCAACACGTGAGTCCAATCAGGCTGAAGAGTTCAATACGAACGAAACTAGTCACTGACACTCGGGATCTCCAACATTATGTTAAAGCCATTCTTGTCCTATGCCATTTTGATATTTTTTCGATTTTTTCAAAATGTGTGGTTTGGGTCATTCCATGTCAATTATCACCCAATGAGTTAAACCGTACCCACTTCAATTTTAATGAAATATGGTTTATATGTTTATTAGACCTGAAAAAGCTGATATTCCAAATTTTAGCTTGATTCAACTAATGGTTCCTGAGATACGGTCCACCCAATTTTGTGGATTTCGGCCAAAATGGACGTGGCCGCTATTATTCAAAAGACCATAACCCAGTCACTGATAGGTCAAAATTGCTGGAATATGTATTTCTGGAATGGGAAAGAGGATGTCTTGCAGTTTGAATCATAGTTATCTATCTTTAGGAAAGTGGCAGATTACTATGTATCATCAGAGCTTATCCATGAACATAATCCTGCTTTAAGTGCAAAGACACTGATTTTCAGCCTCAAGTGTGAATAATACAATATATCAGTTGATTTTGAATGTTTGCAAAAGACATTGTACCTCTGTTTGTGATCCTAAAGTACAAGTCTATATTTTAGACAGTTAATAATTGTGTTTATTTAGAGAGACTGGGTAATCTAAGCTTGAGATCAAGTGTTTAGGAGAAGAGATCGGGGCGCGACAGCACAGGCGCTCGTCTAAACTCTAATTGTAATATTACGGAATTAAATCTGGAATTTTGAACCATGTTTTTAAATGTGTTTTACCTGGAAGCCATCCAAAGTCTTCATTACAACAAATTTACAACCTCCAATTGTTTGATATTGTGTAAAAAACATGTTGAGCTAAATTTTTCATGAAAGTTCATCTCAGGATCCCATGGTCTACAAAGTCAAATTCAAAGTCAAAAGGTCTTCACTCTTTAAAACATGCCTGGATGTCAAATATATAAGTGTAGATTTAGAATCCTTGTATGGAATTTCCATTCCAGAACTACTTATTCCAGCAATTTTGACTTATCGGTTACTGGGTTATAGTCATTTGAGTAATGGAGGCCACATCCATTTTGGCTGAAATCCCCAAAATTGGGTGGACCGTAACTCAGGAATTGTTAGTCGGATCAAGTTAAAATTAGAAATATCAGCTTTTTAAGCCATAATAAACATATAAACCAAATTTCAGCAAAATCGAAGGGGCTACTCATTGGGTGATAAATGACCCAAAACACAGATTTTGAAATAATCGAAAAAATATTGAGATGGAATCAGACAAGAATGGTTTTAACATATAATGGAGACATTAGTACAAACTATAATTCCACCAACTTTCAGATTTTCAGATGCTCATCTACCGGGTTCAATCGGCTCGAAAATATAATTGACATAGATTGACCCAAAACACAGATTTTGAAAAAAAATGGAAAAAATATCTAGACGGCATGGGACAAGAATGGCTTTAACATATGTTAGAGACATTAGTACAAACTATAATCAAACAAAGTTTCAGGTTTTTAAGTGCTCATATACTGGGTTTTATCGGCTCGAGAATACAAGGCAATTTTCAAAAATTGGTGTCTAAAACCATATTCTAGGCCAATTGTCTGAGAATCTAGTGAAGACTGGTGCGTTTTCATATGTTTCTTATGTAGAACTACCAGTAATCTCTGAATAGGCGAAGATTTTGTTCTATATCTATTACTTTGTAGCTCCTTGAGCACTATAAAATCCAGAAAATATACAATCACACCAAATTTTTTTCTGTTTTTTATGACCAGTAGCATGCGAACCCTACCACTCACCTGTAATCTGATTGCAGATTTGTAATCTACACAAAAAGTTCTTTAAGACAACCAAATGTGAGCTGTATATTGTTTATTAAGGATTTAGGTCAAAGACCCATAGATCCAAATCATAATACAATAAAGTGTGAGCCTTATAACTTTACTAGAAAGGTAAAGATAGGTTGCCAGGCAACGAAACATACGCCCACAGCGGCTAAATCGTCCAAGCGGTCGACAAGGGTTGTCGCATATTTATTCCTTTGTAGGTAATCGGGGGCCTTTACAAGACAGTTCCATACAGATCAGATTATAATTTTTGCCGTTTGAGGGTTCACAAGGTTCTACAAATTGATACAAGGGTCTCAACTCTGGAAGTAATCTACAGAAATTGTTGAAATTTGACAGGCCTTTTCGTTTCACTAATTTAAATAATGCATATAAATTTCAGAAAGATAGAATGATAACTTTTGGGGTTAGAGCATTCACAAGGTTAAACAAAGTGAAACAAGGGCCATAACTCTAGAAGTAATAAACGGAAATTGCTGAAATTCAATAGGCTTCTTCGTTTCGCTAATTCAAATATTGCATATAAATTCCACAAAGATCGGATGTTAACTTTTGGCATTGGAGCGTTCACAAGGTTCAATAAAGTGAAACATGGGCCATAACTCTAGACATAATACACAGAAATTGTTGAAATTCAATAGGATTCTTCATTTCACTAATTTAAATAATGCATATAAATTTCAGAAAGATAGGATGATAACTTTTGGGGTGAGAGCCTTCACAAGGTTAAACAAAGTGAAACAAGGGCCATAACTCTAGAAATTCGATAGGCTTCTTCGTTTCCCTAATTTAAATATTGCATATAAATTTCACAAAGATTGGATGTTAACTTTTGGCATTAGAGCCTTCACAAGGTTCAATAAAGTGAAACAAGGGCCATAACTCTAGACGTAATACACAGACATTGTTGAAATTTGACAGGCCTTTTCATTTCACTAATTTAAATAATGCATAAAAATTTCAGAAAGATAGGATGATAACTTTTGGGGTTAGAGCGTTAACAAGGTTAAACAAAGTGAAACAAGGGCCATAACTCTAGAAGTAATAAACGGAAATTGCTGAAATTTGATAGGCTTCTTCTTTTCCCTAATTTAAATATTGCATATAAATTTCACAAAGATTGGATGTTAACTTTTGGAATTAGGGCGTTCACAAGTTTCGACAAAGTGAAACAAGGGCCATAACTCTAGACGTTATAAACAAAAATTATTAAAATTAAATAGGCTTCTTCATCTCACTAATGTAAACAACATATATCGATTTTAAAACAATTGGATAATAACTAGGAACGATGGACGGACCGACGGACGGGGGCGACAGCAATATACGACCACATTTCCATGTGGGCGTATAAAAATAAGATATCTGAAACATAAGTAAATTATTGATACATAATTTGTTTTGAAAACTTATTGGTAACTCATGAAACTCAAATGCCAGTATCTCAGTCAATTTTTAAGCTACAGAACACAAATTTTGCAGTTTCTAGTTTTCTCATGTACAGTAACATATATTATTTCTTGATTTTTTCGAGGTTGTTAATTCCCCACCCGTGGCCCACTTGACATGGAATGGCCCATATACAGGTGCTGTAGTAAAATAATTTTATGGTTCTGAGGGTTCCACAACGCATTCTCAATTCATTTCTCTGAAATTTATTATCATCTGACGTAATATTAAGCTTACCAAATTATCTGGTTCAAAACTTCCAAACACTTTAGATCTGCCACTGACAAGCCTGGATAACAAAATGAAAATACATCTTAAAAGTACCATAATATTTAATATCCTTGTATAAGTATTGGATTTTTATGGTGGACAGGCCTTAAAATAACAATTAAGTTGTACCTGACAAAATGTGTGCCAGAAAATAAGAGATGAAGTGTGCCTGACGGAACGGTGGTATAATAGAATCCGAGACTAAGATAACCCTATTACTTCCGCCTTACTGCTTCTATACAACTGAAACGTGGTGTACTCGTGTGGTACAAGACCCTATACGTGGTATATTGGACTATTGACTAGATATGAACAAAACGTGACAGGTAAAAACGTGGTATAATAAAATATGAGGATGATGCGAAAGTACAATGAGTTGATAAGTAAAAAAAACGTGGTAGGCTACAATAGTATCCGAGGCTGAGATAACGATACCACGCCCGCCTTACTACTTCTATGCAAACGAAACGTGGTACGCGACATCAGCTTATTTTGCAAATTATGTTGATTATTTAATCCATTTTGATGTCTTTTAGCCTTTACATGCCACACACTGTACCACATTTTAAAAGGTCCTACGTGGTATATTTGGTAGATATGAAACAAAACGTGGCAGGTGAAAAGGGGGTATGATAAAATATGTGGATAATACGAGAGTACCATGAGTTAAAAGTTGAAAAAAAGGTGGTACAATAGAATCCGGGGGTGAGATAATCATACCATGCTCGCCTTACTGGTTCTATATAAATGGGGGGGTTGGATGGCTGAATGGTTAGCGTGCGTGTGCTGTATCATAAAGTCTGTCATTGAGTCGACTGGTGTGGTTTCGAATCCCCGGTTGTACGTGACAAGGAGTAGGGTCGCCTGTCCAACCTCGTGGGTTTTCTCCGGGTCCTCCGGTTTCCTCCCACTGCTAAAAGACCCCTACGCGCAAGCGAATTATTGAAATAAAATTAAACCATGTGTTAGTCCCGAAATGACCTGGTTTGTGTCGAGTGGACGTTAAACCCCATTTCTCTCTCTCTATATATATAAATGGAACGTGGTACGCGACATCGGTACAAAAACCATAATAATATAGAATTCGATACTGATCGAGATAACCGTACCACACCCGCCTTACTGCTTCTATACAACTGAAACGTGGTATACTCGCGGTTACCACGTTTTTTGTACCGAAGTCGCGTACCACGTTCCGTTTGTATAGAACCAGTAAGACGGGCGTCCTACGATTATCTCAGCCCCTTATTGTATTATAAATTATACCACTTTTTTTTTAATTATCAACTCATGGTAGATTTGGTTTATATGAAACAAAACGTGGCAGGTAAAAACGGGGTATAAAAATATGTGTTAATAGTTTAAAAAAGTGGTATAATACAATCCGGGGCTGAGATAACCCTACCACACTCGCCTTACTGCTTGTATACAATATAAACGTGGTACGCGGCTTTGGTACCACGTGCCTTTTAATTCGAGGCTGAGATAACTGTAGCCTACAACTTGTGACCTGTAAAACAATTTGATCCTATTATGGTCATGACACTTTGACATGAATTTCGACTGAAAAGGGGCTTAAAATTCAGTAGGAAACTGGTTGTTGAATGCCGCCTTTTTCCTAATGGCACTCTTCCGAAGTTGCTTAACCATTTCAACCCGCCAGTTTGTTGTGTGTTTGTGAAATAGCTTTATTTAACGTCCGATTGTTGTAATCCTTATATTGTTTTATACCACGTTTACCCTTTTTTTAAATGGAGTACAGTACATGGCCTATAAAAACATCAAAATGGGTTAAATAATCAACATAGTCTGCAAAATAAGCCAAAGTCGCGTACCACGTTTCGTTTGTAAAGAAGCAGTAGGGCGAGCGTGGTACTCTTATCTCAGCTTCGGATTCTATTGTACCACGTTTTTTTTACTTATCGACTCATTGCACTTTCGTATCATCTTCATATTTTATTATACCACGTTTTTACCTGCCACGTTTTGTTTCATATCAAGCCAATAGTCTGTTTAAGTAGGGTATAGTACAATAACTTTTACACAGTACAAGTATTATTAACCGTATGATTATTAAACGAACAATCAACTATCTGTCATGTAATTTATTAAAACATAAAGTGTAAATATGGCCTATAAAAACATCAAAATGGATTAAATAATCAACACAATTTGCAAAATCTTCTTCAAATAATGCAAAATCTCTATAATTAAAAGCATGTGGTACCAAAGCCGCGTACCACGTTTCATTTGTATTGGAGCAGTAAGGCGAGTATACCACTTTTCAGTTTATAGAAGCAGTAAGGCGGGCGTGGTACGGTTATCTGGATCAGTATTGCAAAATCTCTATAATTAAAAGCATGTGGTACCAAAGCCGCGTACCACGTTTCATTTGTATTGGAGCAGTAAGGCGAGTATACCACGTTTTAGTTTATAGAAGCAGTAAGGCGGGCGTGGTACGGTTATCTGGATCAGTATTGAATTCTAGTATACCACGTTTTTTGTACCGAAGTCGTGTACCACGTTCACTTTGTATAGAACCAGTAAGGCGAGCGTGGTACGATTATCATTATCTCAGTCTCGTATTCTTTTATACCACGTTTTTTGTACCGAAGTCGCGTACCACGTTCCGTTTGTATAAAACCAGTAAGGCGAGCGTGGTACGGTTATCTCAGCTCTGAATTCTATTATACTAGTAAGGTGAGCATACCACATTTCCGTTGCACAGAAGTAAGGCGAGCGTGGTACGATTATCTCAGTCTCGTATTCTATTACACCAGTAAGGCGAGCATACCACGTTTCCGTTGTATAGAAGTAAGGCGAGCGTGGTACGGTTATCTCAATCTAGGATTCTATTATACCACGTTTTTTGTACCAAAGTCGCGTGCCACGTTCCGTTTGTATATAACCAGTAAGGCGAGCGTAGTACGGTTATCTCAGCTCTGGATTCTATTATACCAGTAAGGCGAGCATACCACGTTTTCGTTGCATAGAAGTAAGGTGGGCGTGGTACGGTTATCTCAATCTAGGATTCTATTATACCAAATTTTTTGGACCAAAGTCGCGTACCACGTTCCGTTTGCATAGAACCAGTAAGGCGAGCGTAGTACGGTTATTTCAGCCCCGGGTTCTATTATACCATTTTTTTTATTAACTATTAACTCACGGTACTCTCGTATCATCCACATATTTTATTATACACCTTTTTTACCTGCCATATTTTGTTTCATATCTACCCAATATTCCACGTATGGTCTTTTTAAATTGGGTGCAGTATAATAGCCTATAAAAACATCAAAATGGATTAAATAATCAACATAATTTGCTAAAGAAGTCGTGTACCACGTTTCGTTTGTATAGAAGCAGTAAGCGAACGTGGTACTGTTATCTCAGCCTTGGATTCTACTGTACCGGTACCACGTTTTTTTTTACTTATCAACTCGTTGCACTTTCGTATCATCCTATTTTATTGTATCACATTGGGTACAATTGTGGGTATAAACATTGACAGATATTACCCAGATCGGTCAAGATCCAGTAGCGTGCTGCAGTCTGAATTAGATTACCGGTATATTAAACATTAAGTGTAAATATCATCTATCAATAGGCCTAGTATAAAACATCGAAATTCATTAAATAATTAATGTAATTTGCAAAATTAGCTTTAATACGGTAAAATCACCAAAATTATAAAGTACGTGGTACCAAAATCTCGTACCACGTTACATTTGTATAATAGAAGTAGCCTAATAATAGGGACGAGCGTGGTTTAGCCACTTTTAAGTTATCTTATCTTATCTTAATCTTACCTTAATCAGGTGAAAAGGGTCGTTCTAACAATGCGTTTTCGTTGCCAGAGAAGTTAAGATGTTAGCTGTTAACGAATCAACCCTCCTTTACTTACCTGCATTGGCATATTCGAGAAATGTTGTGTAATTTGGCTTGTTTTAACAGAGGTCTAAATATCTTCAACATTTTTCTTGAATCAAACACCAAAAGACTTGAAAAGTCATTAGAGTAATTTCCCCTGGACAAATTTAGACAATATTTTTATTTAGTTTGGTTGCCGATGACTCGATAGTTCAGCTCTGAACGTGGATCTGTAATGAGACCTATAGCCTAGTTGACACAATAGAAACATAACCCAGTAGATAATAGGTAATGGACTATATTTGGCGAGAAGTATCCAGATAATGGGCACAGAGTAAAAATACTACTCTGTGTAATCATGGATCGTATATTTTATACGAAAATAAATTTAAGATATTTCATTAAATAAAGTGGAAGTAGCATACATCACAGAGAAGAAGATTCTTGTTGTGGAAATAATTCGCTTGAGGTAATAATACAAACGCCTTATTAAGGTGATACGAAACACGTGTTTTGTGATTAAAGTAGCAAAGTCTCTAACTCAATGTCATCCAAAGCCTTCGACATTGAAAACACAAATTAGGCCTAATTACCATAAAAGAAATTTGAAATTAAATTAAATTACGCGCTAAGTTACTATTATACTAAAGTCTCTACTGTATGAACCTTCCTATTTTATAAACGGATTTCCTCGATTATGAACAAACTATTTAACTTTGGTTATTATAAACTTACCTGTGTGTTTGAAATCAACTCCCGTTAAATAAAATCCATTGCACAACTGAATATCCCAGCGAATAAAAAAGTTCTCTCTTGTAAAATTGAACTCATCACACACTTGGACATCGAGAAATACAAACATGGAAGCTAATTACGTCACTTATCGGGATAGATCATTTCGTACAAGGGGGTCGCAGCAAGACTTGTTTATATCGTAACGGTATTTGGCTCTCTTCCGCCAATTCAAATTTGTGTATGAATACACTATTGCTCTCGGACCCATGAGTTTGGGCGTTTACAACCATAAATACGCCTGTAGTCCGTTATTTTGTTTTCGTCTTGTATTAATTATTTGGTTAGAGAGTTAGGTGGGATTATTTCTTTTGAACACAGGTGCAGTAAAAAAAAGAACGACATTCGTTTTACGGGTCTTGAATCTCACCCTTAAATATCTTTACTATTTCCTGATGGCATTTTGTAGATTGCGATCATGCCTCAGCCAATCAACGATTTGAATTCTATTATCGTAAAAGGTACCGTGCCATATGAGTTATTGTATGCTACACGATGCAGTGAAAACGGTTAAATTTGGCACGAAACTTTCACGAGTTTTACCCACGGTCTGCATAATTAATACACGCAATCTGCGATGCCTCTTTTGACGAGTGATTTTTTTTTTTTTAAATACATTCTTATAAAGACGAAAAACGATATTTAGACACCCCGAACTGTTCTTTTCAAGGATGTTTCGATTTCAGTATTTGTCGAATAAAGAAAAAAGAGTAATTTAATCAGGAATATTATTGACATGAACATTCGGAACGTGAATTAAATATGGAAATTATTAACAAGCGGTGACCTTTTTTGTTTTTGTTTTTGTTTTATTTTACTGGGTAATCATAAAATTTTGTAAATGGACTAATAACCACAGAGCATTGGGATTAGACCCTGTTATGAAATATGATCAATTAAAATTATGAAATAAAGTGTGTTTATTTGTAAATGTTAGCTACAAAGTTGCCTATAATAATTGGCATGCAGGGATTTAATATAGTTTATGAAAATATATATGATACAGGGTATTTACAATTATGGGTCGATGATTATGTGAAAGCAATATTTACGAGTATATGTGTAATCAGTGATATATTCATTGTGAATAAAATTTAGTAGACTGACAATCAATTAATTGTTTCCGAATTAATATTATTGTCTTTAGTTCCTAATCTTGTTGCCCAAACTCAAACGATCGAAAAGGACATGTGCTGTTTTGATAGCAGCACACGTGATTGTTAAAATTTGTCAATCTTTAGCCCCTTCTAAATATTACGATGGATTAACTCACCATGTGACAAATGCAATGTTGTGATGGAGACTGTCGAAAATACAAGCAAAAAATTTGACTTTTCAAGAGAGAACTATTTTTTTCGTTGGGAAATTTAATTGTGCCATGGATTTTATTCTACAGGAAGTGATTTCAAACACATAGGCAAGTTTTTAATAACATTTATTCAGTAGTTTGTTCACAATCAAAGAAATCCGTTTATAATTTACAATGGTTCATACAGTAAGTACGGTAATTCAATATCATCCAACTTCGACATTGAAAACACAAATTATTGGTCAATTTAAATCAACATTGTTGTTGTGATCTAACCGGGAAAAGATGGACTTCTGATATCTAATATTTAAGACAAAATAAACATTTTACCATTGTTATACGAATCGAATCGTGTATCATCATAATGTGTTTCAGTCCCCATTTGTAACAAGGGACTTGAAGAATGAGGCTAGACATATCCAATAGTCATGTCAAACGGCGACCCATATTCTTATCTGGAGAGCATGTGCAAAAAAATACTCTGTAGACTGGAATAACCAGATGCTAGAGACTGCCATTCGATTGAAACTTCCGGCATATTTCGCCGAACATAACTGATTTGAAATTACTGTCTGTTCCAGGAGGTAGGCTACTCCGACTCTAAAATTCCTCGCCTAACCACTTGCACATACATGCTAACCATTCGGCCATCCCCCCCCCCCCCCCCCCTAGTGATTTTGAAAAAAAAAGAATAATATTTTCAACCCTTAAAAAGCAAACATATTTTTTTTTTTTAATAAGTGTGTTATTCTATACCTTTTGATAATAATGTTTACTAATTTCTTTTGATATTGTGTAGATATACGATCAAGCATTGGTCACTTTGTAAGGGTTTCACACGTCAACATGCTATCATAAATGGCATTTCATGTAAATTTTTTACACGCATCATGCTCATGGGAATATGTTAAGTGACTCCTGTTAAAGGATAACGGGCACCAGCATTATACTTTTCTATAATTTTCTGAGCTGTTTCTAAACCTTTTTGTTTATTTGTAAAATAAATGCTGGTATTTTAATATTCCTCACAGTTCACGGAATCATAGATGTTCTTAGTATTGCATTACAATAAGTTAGAAAAGATAAAAAAAAGCCAATCTTAGAAAATATAACCCATTGAATAAGTGATTATTGTTTAGTCTACAATTTATTATTTCAAGATGAAAATTATGCGAGATGTCAAGGGATATACATGTACTAAAGTATTATGCAGACTTTATTTCGAGAAACAGAATTATATACAATACATGTATACAAGTTCAAAAAATGAGATTGCCTATGCATTAATTACATCCGTAAAATCTGTTTTAAAGGAGGGCCCATCTACAAAACCGGAAAAGGACAAAATTATATAATAAGCGAGACCATCCACAGCCAAATATGCTGTGTCCTGCAATGCATAACCTTGATTGAAGAAATGAAATGATGTAATTGATGTTTAATGGCACGCCAGCATCAACTGGGCGTTAATGTGTCAGACATAATTATTATATAAAAATTGTTTTTGCTTTTGTTGCAGACTTCATGAGAAATTAGGTTATGTATACAATTAGTTTGACCATCACCCCAGCCAAAATTCAACTTTAAAATTTCCGAGGGTTCTCAAGTTTTAAGCAAAGGAATAACTATACAACCCGCGGTTATTATTATTGACTGAATTATTATTGTGTACACCTATAGCCTCCTTTCAAATTTCCATCACGTATCAGTTTAGGATACAATTTGTATGTAGTTTATATCAATATCAAAACGCTGCAGCCCTCGGGGCCAATTAAATATTCAAGTCAGTTGGACAAACAACTGTGGTCTTAAATCCCATAAAAATGCAAGATTCTACTGGGTCGAAACAACTTCATTAATATCCAAGTAGGCCGAAACGACTCAAAGTCAAACTAGCGCCCCCGCCCAAATCGACTATTCCAGGTAACTAAGTCAAACATGGTTGATAATCAGTAGCGTGATGTAAACAAACCACGATTTTTCAAGAAAGAGAGGTTATATAGCTTGATCTGAAATTGGTTCCCTCGTGTAAGAAAGTAATGGGTATGTCAATAAGTTTTAGTTGTTTTAATTAAAAATTGAAGAAATGGCAAGCAATTTTCGTGTCGTAGTGTCACCTGGAACAGACAGTAGTGTAAAAACGGAAACACTATTGTTTTTGTTCGGATTATTATTCTTATTATTAGGGTTTCACACATGTTCCTGAAGCAACGACTGCGAGTTTTACAACATCTGGCCGTTCCTTGTTTACTTCACAATTCCCGAACTTATAGCTATGTTATCTACAGACACGGTGAGCAGTAGCGTCCAATCAGAGGTTGGGACATCGCGACCTCCACGGAAACCTTGACATTGAATGAACCTTGAACTTTGCAACTCGATTATCACAGGTAGACATTTTAGCTTGAAAGCGCGAGACTTGGTATTTCGATCGAGGAATCTGATTTGCTCACAAGTTGGGCTTGTACCCAATCGAAATTAGTGCCGCAATATGCAGGGTATTACGTGAAGGCCTTGATAAGATGTACGTAGTTAAAGCGAGATCAAGCCTTCTATTGAAGATAGTTTTCACACTGCATAGCTTGTGTGAAACACTATTGTTTTTGTTCGGATTATTATTCTTATTATTACTATTAGGGTTTCACACTGCGTAGCTTGTGTGAAACACTATTGTTTTTGTTCGGATTATTAGGGTTTCACACTGCGTCGCTTGCGTGAAACACTATTGTTTTTGTTAAGATTATTATTCTTATTATTAAAGGACAGTATTGGTGTCAGTCATTATCACATATGTGATAGAACTAATTAAACACGTTCCAAATATAATTTTAACACAGAGATCATTGCTACGATAGCTGAGTAATACAGGTTTCCTGAATCGGAAGTGACGAACGCCAAAGGAAAACACGAGTCATACCTCTATATAACTGACTGATGTGACGAGTGATAACAGATACACGGCCGAATTTCTGCTCACTAATAATTCCTTCCAAGACCAAAAGTTGTTGTGTGAGACTGTGAGAGGATATCTGACAATTCATAAAAAGAATTGACTGCCACTAGATAAGAGAACACGAAAGAAAAACAGAAAAAGTCTGTGCATTACCATGTTTTTATAAGGTATAGAATGAATATAAACAAGGCAATGTACGGACTATTTCTATTTTTCTTGTGTTCTCTTATCTAATGACACGCAATTACTTTATTGAATTGTCAGGTATCCTCTTACAGTCCCATATAACAACTTTTGGTCTTGGAAGGAATTATTAGTGAGCAGAATTTTTATCCGATTTTGTTGAAACTTGAAATTTAAGTTTATAACCCAAAGATCTGGGTTCCTTTCGATATTCGCGCATATCGGACCATAA